TTGTGGTGCCTCACGCCTTAATCTCCAAGCACTATGGGAGGCTAAGGCACGGAGGATCGATTTGAACCTAAGGAGCTCGAGCCGAGGCTGACAAACATAGGGGCGAACCTCGTCTCATAAAATAAAAAATAATAATTGAATGAATGATATCTACTAATAATAATAATAATTGGCTAGGCAATGGTGGCTCACGCCTGTTATTCCAACAATTTGGAAGGCCTGAAAGGCCAGTGGATCACTTGAGGTCAGAAGTTCAAACCACCAGGCCTTGACCAACATGGTGAAAACGCTGTCTCTACTAAATTACAAAAATTAGGGCTGGGTGTGAAGCAGTGCTCAAGCTGTCATCCGCGCACTTTGGGAGGCGAGACGGGCGGATCAGCGAGGTCAGGAGATCGATGACCAATCCTGGCTAACATAGTAAACCCCAATCATCTACTAAAATACAAAAAAAATTAGCCAGGCGTGGTGGCGGGAGCCCTGTAGTCGCCAGCAACTCGGGAGGCTGAAGGCAGGAGAATGGCGTGAACCCGGGAGGTGGAGCCTGGCAGCGTGAGCCGAGATCGCACCACTGCACTCCAGCCTGGGTAACAGAGCGAGAATCCATCTCTATCTAAATAAATAAATAAATAAATAAATAAATAAATAAATAAAGCTACATAATCAAGATGAATGGTATTGGCATAAAGATAGGCACATAGACCAGTGGAACAGAATTGAGAGCGCAGAAACAAACCTTACATTTCTGGCCAGTTGATTGTATTCTCTTGATAGTTTAATATACTTTTTACTGAAGTAAAATATGCCATGAACGCACCCATGCAGCCACCACCCAGATCAACAAATAGAACATTCCCAGCGCCGCAGAACCACCCCCGGTGTTCCCTCGGTCAGTATCCTGCTCTTCTTTTTTTTTTTTTTTTTTTGAGACGGAGTCTCGCTTTGTTACCCAGGCTGGAGTGCAGCGGCCGGATCTCAGCTCACTGCAAGCTCCGCCTCCCGGGTTCACGCCATTCTCCTGCCTCAGCTCCCAAGTAGCTGGGACTACAGGTGCCCGTCACCATGCCCCGCTAATTTTTTTGTTTCACCGTGGTAGCCAGGATGGTCTCAATCTCCTGACCTCGTGATCCGCCCACCTTGGCCTCCCAAAGTTCTGGGATTACAAGCGGGAGCCACCGTGCCCAGCCATAATTTTTGTATTTTTTTATAGAGACAGGGTTTTGTCATGTTGCCTAACCTGGTCGCAAACTCCTGACTGCAAGCAGTCCATCTGTCTTGGCCGCCCAAAGTGCTGGAATTACAGGCCTGAGCCACTGCCAGCCTTTGTTTCCACTTATTGGTTATCATGAAGAATTATACTGTAAACATTTTTGTGGAAGTTTTTTTTCTTTTTCTTTCTTTCTTTTTTTTTTTTTCTTTTTTTTTGAGAGAGAGTCTCACTCTGTCGCCCAGGCTGGATCGAGTGGTGGTGCAATCTCGGCTCACTGCAACCTCTCACTCCCTGGTTCAAGCAATTCTCCTGCCTCAGTCTCCTGAGTAGCTGGGACTACAGGCACCCACCACCATGTCCAGTTAAGTTTTGTATTTTTGGTAGAGACGGGGTTTCACGATGTTGGCCAGGATGGTCTTGATCTCCTGACCACGTGATCCACCCGCCTCAGCCTCCCAAAGTGCCGGGATTACAGGCGCAAGCCACCGCGCCCGGCCAATCTGAAGTACTTTTAAGCGTAGCCTGGTCGCTAATTCTCAGCCTGACACCCAGCTACGTGGCCTCCTCTGGACACTGGGGGGGGGGCGCTTTGGTTGGGCAACACATTGTGAAGGTTAAAATTCAGTGTCTCCATCCATAAGGTCATTCCACATGAAGACTTGGATTCCACGTCACAATCTCAGTGCTCAGTGAGCATGCCGTCCCCTGGTGGAGGAGGCCCATTCTGCCATAGCCACTGCAGCTGCTCACGGAGGAGTAGCATCCAGGGCACTCATCTGCATGGGGTGGGGCAGAGGCACTGGTAAAGGTGTCTCCTCTGGGGTCAGGTGGTTCATACCTGAGGCGTGGGGCTTGATGTTTCCCATGTGAGGCAGGGCACGGCCATCAACTGCAGATGTCTGCTGAGCGTGTCCAGGGTGGGTATGGGAGCTGGGAGGCATCATTTTGTTGTGAGATGCCTGGCTGCCATAGGTCGACATGACTGAATGAAGGCCCATCACCATCAGCCCAGAACCTGGCTGTTGGGTTGGGCTACCCCAGGATCCGCTGGTGTCATGCTTGTGGGGAAAGAAAGAGAGATCAGACTGTTACTGTGTCTATGTAGAAAACGGAAGACATAAGAAACTCCATTTTGTTCTGTACTAAGAAAAATTATTCTGCCTTGAGATGCTGTTAATCTGTAACCCTAGCCCCAACCCTGTGCCCGCAGAGACATGTGCTGTGTTGACTCAAGGTTTAGGGGATGTAGGGCTGTGCAGGATGTGCTTTGTTAAAAATGTGTTTGCAGGCAGTATGCTTGGTAAAAGTCATCACCATTCTCCAGTCTCCAGTACCCAGGGACACAATGCACTGCGGAAGGCCACAGGGACCTCTGCCCAAGAAAGTCTGGGTATTGTCTGAGGTTTCTCCCCACTGAGACAGCCTGAGATATGGCCTCGTGGGAAGGGAAAGACCTGACTGTCCCCCAGCCCGACACCTGTAAAGGGTCTGTGCTGAGGAGGATTAGTGAAAGAGGAAGGCCTCTTTGCAGCTGAGACAAGAGAAAGGCATCTGTCTCCTGCTTGTCCCTGGAAATGGAATGTCCTGGTGTAAAACCTGATTGTACATTCTATTTACTTAGATAGGAGAAAACCACCTTATGACTGGAGGTGAGACATGCTGGTGGCAATACTGCTCTTTACTGCACTGAGATGTTTGTGTAAAGTCAGACATAAATCTGGTCTATGTGCACATCCAGGCACAGCACCTTTCCTTAAACTTATTCATAACACAGAGGCCTTTGCCCGCATGTTTTCCTGCTGACCCTCTCCCCACAATTACCCTATAGTCCTGCCACATCCCCCTCGCTGAGATAGTAGAGATAGTGATCAATAAATACTGAGGGTACTCAGAGACCAGTGCCAGCGCCCCTGGTCCTCTGTGTGCTGAGCGCCGGTCCCCTGGGCCCACTTTTCTTTCTCTATACTTTGTCTCTGTGTTTTATTTCTTTTCTCAGTCTCTCATCCCACCTGACGAGAAACACCCACACCTGGGCCCACTTTTCTTTCTCTATACTTTGTCTCTGTCTTATTTCTTTTGTCAGTCTCTTGTCCTACCTGACAGAAATATCCACAGGTGTGGAGGGGCTAGCCCCCATCAATAATGTCATTATGGGGAGGACAGTCAGGAGTCAGCAACTCCTCCAGGAGTCCCGCTGCACAGCTCCAGGGACTCACAGCTCCACGGACTCACAGCTCCACAACTTGATTTGTGGTCCTGGAGCGTTTGCATAGGCATCTGGGGCAAAGGGCTCGTGTTGGACTGGCACTACGTCTATTTTTTTGTAGTTTGGCTGGGCGAATTCACACTGGTGTTTGGTGGCACAAATGAGTAGCATGGCGTCTGCTGCATCATGGTGCCAGGGGCGAACTGGGTCCACACAGTTAATGATGTCAGTACTCAGAGAAGGTTGAGATTATCCAAACCTTTTCCATGTTTTGGGATTGCTTTTCTCAGACATAGGGGGTGGAGTAGGGGCCATCTTTGCCGAAGATGACCGGTACCCCACAGAATGCACATCCCCATCTCTAAGATCTTCCCCTTTGGTTATAATGGGTGAAAGTCTCCCAGTAATAGTACTAGCATTTGAGCTAGTTCGAGGGCGAAATGTACTCCGGCATTCCCCTGGCTAGACTGCAGGGGTGCTTTGTTCGCGGCAGCTCGGCTTAGGCTCTGAGCGCATTTGCTGTTGTCCGTGGATGCAGCTCTTGTCCTAAGACATCTCCCACCCTTGCCGCCCTCTGGATCCAGCATCCACCGAGCACTTTTCCCAGTTCCTTCGTTCTGCGCGCCAGTCAACTTGCTGTGTAGGAACAGAAGATGAGGAAGTGAATTACTGCAGCCCGCAGAGCTGTTGCTGTCGCCCTCATCCGTGAAGCAGGGCACGCTCTTGAGCATCCACTCGCAGATCTGCCACAGCGCAAGCCGCTTCTCCGCCGAGCTCTGGACTGCCTGGTGCTGAGGTCGGCGTGGGACAGGTCGCGCCCCGCGTTGCGATGGGACGAGCTGCTCCTGCGCTGCTGCCCCGCGGGCGGCCCGGGGGTGGCGGAGTCCCGTGTGGGTGCTGCGGCGGCGAGGAGAGAAGCCGCCCGCCTCGGGCCCTGGAGGTCCCCGCACAGCCCCCGGGGGCGGCGTCCCGGCGATCGCGGAAGTCCTCGCTGTCCTCCAGCGGGCTCAGGTTGCTCGTGAAGTCGGCGCTGACGGCGCGGGGCCGGAGGTGGCCGCTTGGGACCCGCGGAACTCCCGCCGGGGCAGCGGCTGGAAAACCGGGTCGACCTCCGCCTCCCGGGGCGCTTCGGCCCTGGGGACCGCTCCTCTCCCCTCCCCTCCCCTCCCGTCTCCTCCCCTCTCCTCCGCCAGCCGCGGGCGAGCCAAGAAAGGGGAGAGCAAAGCACCGGGCGGAGGGGAGGGGGCGCCAGGAGGAGGCGGAGATTCCGGGGACAAGGTCGGTTTCGCCGGAGACTGAAAGAAACTGGGAGCCGGGCGGGGGCGGCGGAAGCGCGAGTCCAGAACTGAGCCCGGCGGGGCGGTGCGCGGCGAGGCTGATCCCGGTCCGCTGCGCGGATGGACGGCGGGCCGGAGCCCCGGGCCGGGCCGGATCCGGGCAGAGCGGGCGCCGCACTCCCGCAAACAGGGCCGTGGACCCCGCGGGCCGTGGCTCTCCCCCGAGGCGCCCCCTCTGAGCTGCTGCCGGTGGAATGCGGCAAGGAGGCTGCAGAACTACGCGGCCGCCCGACTGACGGGGTCTGCCCTGGTTTATTTATTTTTATCTTTCTTTAAAGTAAGAGTGCAGAAGGCTTCCCCTCCTCTCACGCCACCTCTCCAAAGAGGGCCAATGTGGGTGACTTTCTGAGTAGTCCCCAAAGCAGATCCCGAGGCCTGCGCGTCGCGAATCTTCTCTGCCAGGGCGCTGGTGGAGCAGTTTCTCAGCTGGTGCCTCTGGCCCAGCGAATCCTGCCGGATGGCGGTGGTTCTGGAATGCCCTGTGGATTCGCCCTAAGGCCTTGTAGGCCCGGGGACTCTGGGGGTGCTGTATAAAGCAGGAAAATACGTAAATGGAGCCCAGGGGGAAGGTAGCGTGGCCGAGCGGTCTAAGGCGCTGGATTAAGGCTCCAGTCTCTTCGGAGGCGTGGGTTCGAATCCCACCGCTGCCAGCTTGGTGTGGTTTGTCCATTTTTGTCCCCCCATAGGTTACAAAAGGAGGATTCGTTGGAACTTTCCTCGGGCCCCACGCTTGCTCGGGATCTGGATTCCATTTGGCAGCGCGCAGCCGTCCAGTGGATGGGCTTTGTAGGGAGTTCCTCGGCGCTGGTGTTCACAGCAAGTGAGGTGGGTTCAGTTCTTCCCAGGTTCCAGTGGTTGAGGTGGAAAGGCAACGGTATAAATACCCTGGATAGCCTTTTCTCCTTAACCAGGTGGAGATAGTGGTGGAGTGTTGTAGGCTAGTCCTAAGTGTAATATGTTTGAAGTAATGAGGTAAAAAGTAGAAGGAAGTGTTTCCGCCCGGTTTCGAACCGGGGACCTTTCGCGTGTGAGGCGAACGTGATAACCACTACACTACGGAAACCTGCTTGGCTTTTGTGTGCCATTGTAATGACCCATCACACAGGGCCGTTTTTTGTTTCCTCATCGTAATTCAGAGCTTCCTCCATGCGTCCCTTCGAGCTTTGTTAATGAGCATAAGCACACACACAAAGATATTTCAGCACCTGGAAGGCTGAGGCGGCAGGATAGCTGGAGCCCAGGAGGTCGAGACTGCACTGAGCTATGATTGCAGCACTGCACTCCAGCCTGGGCGACAGAGCAAGACCTTATCTCGAAAGAGAGAAAAGAAACGAGAAAAGGAAGTTTTCATGTGCAATGTGGTGGCATAAGTGGGCACGGGAGTCCTGAGAGAGGATGTCGCGGCGACAGTGGGTATAGGGGTTGAACAGCAGGGGCGCGCTGGCACCGTTTTCTAAGAGAAGAGACTTTCAGAAGAAGCTGCTTGGAGAATATGAGGCCATGAGTTCGTGAGTGGAGCTGGAGCTTGTGGGCCTGGAGAAATTGGAGTGGAATGAAAGAGGAAGTAGCCTAAAACACCATTTTTATTGTTCTATTGTTTGGTAGAACTCTAGATTTTCCTAGCAGCCACTGCTGTTGGACATTTAGATTACTTTCCTCCCACCAACAGTAAGCAAGCGTTATGAAGGCTACCCCCTTGGCAACATTTGGCACTTTCCATTGATTTTTTTTTTTTTTTTTTTTACTTCTAGCCATTTGTGGGTATGTAGTATTCCTTATGGTTTAAGTTTGCATTTAGCTGATAAGAAAAGATGGGCACTTTTTCATGGGTTATGGGCACTTTTTCATGGGTTTATGGCCCATGTGTTTATCTTACTGTGTGAAGTATCTCTTTAAATATCTTGTCCATTAAAAACAAACAAAGAAAAAAACACACAAACAAACAGAAAACCCCAAGAAACAGAAAACAAAGAACTGGCATGGCATGGTGGCTCAACACCTGTAATCCCAGAACTCTGGGAGGGCGAGGTGTGTGAATTGTTTGAGCTCATGAGTTGAGACCAGTCTGGGCAACATTGGGACATCATCTCTCCAGAACATCCAAAAATTAGCTGGGAGTGATGGCATTCACTTGTAGTTTCTGTAGGTACTTGGGAGGCTGAGGTGAGAGTATTGCTTGAGCCTGTGAGATGGAGGCTGCAGTGAGCAGAGATCTCACTGCTGCACTCCAGCCTGGGTAACAGAGCAAGATCCTGTTCCAAGAAAAAAAAAAAAAAGACTCTCATATTTTTTTTTAATCTGGAAACTTCTAAATTTCAGCTTGTATGTTTAAGTGTAAATTCTATTTCATATAATTTTTTTGTTATGGTGTGAGTTTGGGATTAAGGTTAATTTCTTTCCCTTGTGGATATCCAGTTGTTCCTGAACCCATTGTTGCAAAGACACTATTTCCACATTGAATTGCTTTGGTGCCTTTGGTGAAAATCAAATAACTGAGTATATGTGGGCCCAAGTTCTTTTTGTTCATTTTTTGCTTTTCAATTAAAAATTTCAAATAGGCCAGGCATACTGGCTCACCCCTGTAATTCTAGTGTTTTGGTAGGCTGAGGTAGGAGGATTGTTTGAGGCCAGGAGTTGGAAACTAGTCTGTGCAACATAGCAAGACCACGACTTTACCAAAAAAAAAAAAGTTAACTGGGCATAGTAGTGCGTTCTTGTAGTCCCACCTACTTGGGAGGCTGAGGCAGGAGGATTGTTTGGGCCCAGGAGTCCAAGGCTGCAGTGAGCTGTAATCACAGCAGGGCACTGCTACCTGGATGACAGAGTGAATCCCTGTCTCCAAATAAATAAACAAATAAGTAAATTAATAAATGTTTGCATTAGATGAATATGCCATGTTTTGTTTATCCATTTATCAATGAATGAACATTTATGTTGTTTCAATTTTTTTTTTTTTTTTTTTGAGACAGATTCTCACTCTTGTCACCCAGGCTGGAGTACAGAGGAGCCATCATAGCTCACTACAATCTCCACCTCCTTGGTTCAAGTGATCCTTCCACCTCAGCCTCACAAGTAGCTGGGACCATAGGTGTACACTACCACACCTGGCTAATTTTTGTATTTTTTATAGAGATGTAGTCCCTATTTTGCCCAGGCTGGTCTGGAACTCTTGGCCTCAAACAGTCCACCCACCTTGGCCTCCCAAAGTGTTAGGATTACAGGCATGGGACACCTTGCCTAGCCTTTGTTTCCACTTTTTCGCTATAATGAAAAATGATACCATATATATTTTGTGTACATATTTTTACGTGAACAAAAAGGTATATATGAAACTCTCTTTTATATATACCTAGGAGTGGAATTGATGGATTGTATGGTAACCCTATGTTTAAATTTTTGGCATAGCAAAGTGAAACTTGAAACTAGCAATTCCACTAATACCGTTTATTTATATGATATTTCCAGAAAAGGCAGATGAAAACAGAGGAAAAGCAGATCACTTCTTGTGTACCGCTGAGGCTGAGAGCCAGGATTGGCTGCAGATGGGCATGTTGGAAATCTTTGTGGTAACGGAACTGTTTTAAAAGTGGATTGTGGTGATGGTTGCAGAATCCTATGCAGTGACTAAAAATCATTGAACTGTATATTTACAATGAGTGGATTTTATTGTATTGAATTGTACCCCAATAAAATTGTTATAGAATGCTAAACCACAAAAACAAGCCCCCAAACACAGCAATAGGCAGTTAGTGTTTCCCTGGGATCAGCTCAGGTGACAGTTGCATTGTGCAAAATGATTCCTGTGACCCAGAGGGTAATTAATGTTTACATAATGCTTTACCGCAGCCTTGGAGGGCACGTAACTTGCACCTTGAAACTTGAAGGTCTTGCTAGTGTTGCTTGTAATCAAGGTAAAGTAGTTGTATAAATAATCAAGATGTGAGTAAATTTACGGAGATGCCAAGTAAATGAAGAAGATGAGCGACCACCGCGAGACTGAAGCTGGGAGGGGCGTGACGGAAGTCATCCAATCCAGAACTGCCGGAATAGAGACCTTGCCAATGGATGGGTTTAAAAAACGAAAAGTGCGTGTTACAGAAACGAAATGAGGATCCGTCATAGGATCCAGTTTATGGTCAACATGGGGACGCCCACCCAATACTGTGGGTCTACAGGAGGCGCTAATGTGTGCTGCTGTGTTTTGGGTGTGATGTGCAAAGTACTGGTCCTTGAGGAGATGGGGGCACTGGTTTTTATTTTCCACAGCTGTCTTTTTAAATCTAGAAGACAAAAGCTTCTGTTGACGAGCGCTCGGGGCTGCAGGAGGGTCGTGGTGATGAGTGTGCTGGCCCTCTGCAGGGGCCGCCTGTGTGTGTGTGTTTGTGGGGGGCTGGACAGCTCCTGCGCTGGCTGTCAGGGTGCGAGTTACACAATCCCTGGAGGTGGGCAGTTTCCTCGTCTGTAGTGGGATGACGGCAGCGCTTCCTTACAGGTGGATGACGAGGGTTAGAGCAATTACACAAGCACTAGGTAAGACTGAAGAAACACTCACTGAATTTACAGGCTGTGCCAAGGCAGCTCAGTTCCAGGGCGCAGGGGAGCACGCATGGGGCCAGCACAAAAACGAAGGATCCTGCTCGCGCAGAGGGGGAAGGGTGGGGGTGGGGTAAAGGGATAGACCGAGGCCCGCACAGGCAGACGTTGGGTGTCCTCCGGGGACCCAAAACACGGCGGACGGCAGCTGCGGCGATGGAGAGGGGCCTCCGCCCCAGGAGATGTGGACAGAGGCGGCGGCGAGGCGCGGAGCTGGCAAGGAAGGCGGGTTGCGCGGCTGGCAGGGAAGGCAGGAGGCTGGGCGAGGCAGGCGTACTCCCCTGGCAGGCCGCATCGAAGAAGCAATGCTTGAGAGCGATGGCCCGTTTGCCTCGGCTTCTGGTTTATGTGTTCGGGAAAGCAGACCCGCGTTCGCCCGATCTCAGCGGCCTCCGCACAAGCCAGCGCAGGCGCCTGACCCGCCTCCTTCGTCCTCGCTTCCCGCCTTGGTAGCAGCGGCATCTCCGCGACTTCCCCGTGTCCGCACTTTCTTCCAGGGCTTGGCAACCGGAAAGTGTCTAACAGCGGTTCAAGGAATCGCCTCTGGGCTGCAGCGGAGCGGGGACATCCCTTGGGAACGGCAGCGCGTCCTCTGGTCGCGCCCAGGAACATCCCGAGCCTGCGAGTCCGATCGCGGGAGTCCCCCAGGCCGACGCCGGCCCAGCTCGCTCGCAGCTCGCCCTGGGAGAGAACCTGGAGCCTCCGCGGCTGACCCGAAGCCAGAGGTCCCCTGCACCTTCTCGAAA